CACCCGGCACTGTTCTCTCTTTCCGGACCTGGCCGAGCAGGAGGCGCCATCATGGTGAGCTCGCTTTGCGGCGTTCGGGGCTGGGCAATCCGCTGCCATCCGCTGTGGTCGCGGCCTAGGGGCACGCTGGAGGGCGGCAGGGGGTCTGCGGCTGCCTGGAAGGGGCAACTCCCGATACTGGGGGCGTACTCTGGGGGCCAGGAGAGCAGGGATGGGTCAGAGTCATAGCCTACCGCCCCCATTGAGTAGATGACCAAGTTGAGGTACTCGGAGGCTAATACGACTGGGTTTACAAAGCTAGGAAGTGGCGGAGCCAGGATTCCGACGCAGGTGGCTGGCTGGACCCGCAGCCGCTCTTAGTTACTTGGCTTTGCTGCCTCTATCCGTACCTGTCACTTTGTAGTATGAAAAGTCGGGTGGGAGGATCAATTTGGGGACCAGGTAGGCTTCTGAGTCTCCGGTCCCTTCCCACCTTGTGATGGTTTTTGAGCCTTTGCCCCAGTGTGACTGTTCGTTATGTACACAATTATCTCGTCTAACAAGTTTGCGAATTTGGGGGTAATAAATTCACAGGAAATTCTCACCACGGGGTCTTGCAGGACACAGTGCTGAGTAAGTGGAACTATTAAAACTTAAATAGTTCTTAACGATTGCGAACAAAGTCTGAAAAAACTTCAGTTACTCAGAAAGGCAGCAGGGAGGTAAGAGCCTTTCGAGGTGGCTCAAACCTGTTATCCTTGCCTTTTGGGAGGCCGAGGCTGGAGGATTCCTTGCCCAGGAGATCAAGACCAGCCTGGCCAATATAGTGAGACCCTGTTTCCACTTCAAAAACAATTTCTTAAAAAGACAGTACTTGGTAAGGGTTGTTGGATTGACTGATGTTGTAGGAGAGGTGGTTCTGGTAGTATTGCTCGGTTCTGAATAAGGATTCATTTCCATCATTATTGCCATTGGTTTGATATTTTTGGTTATCCTGCAGGTATGGGAGCCAGTTTTGAGAACTTAACATTGTTGCAAAATACAAGTTGTAAAGAATTAACCTTTTTATATAAAGTTAACGTGGCTGCTGTGTTATGCTGTTTTGTTTTCGGGGTTCTGTGTGCCATGGGCTGAAGGCATTGTAAGTAGCCCCTTTTTACAGAGGGATCGGTGGCAGCCCAGAGGTCTCCTTGTGATAGGCCTGGGATTTGAGCTGGTGTGTTCAGAGCCGGACCTGGGGCCCAGCTCTCAGTTTCAGAAATAAGTAATAATTGGCCATGGTTGGGGGTAATTGGGTCCATGGTTGCCTCTTCACCCCCGCAGGGAGTTGACATCCGCCACAACAAGGACCGAAAGGTTCGGCGCAAGGAGCCCAAGAGCCAGGATATCTACCTGAGGCTGTTGGTCAAGGTGAGGCTGGGCCCTGAGAGGTCTTTGGGGAGGGTCACCCCAGGTCTGTGACTTGCAGATCCTCCATTCTAGTGCTGGCACCAGGCTCCTCCCTGGGGCCTGCAGGGCAGGCTTGCGTCTCTGGTTCTGTCCCAGGGCCTCCTGCATTTGTGTTTTCAGCCTCTAGGCTGTGTACAGCTTGGCTTGGGAGTGGAGCTGAGATTTTCTAGGTCCCTGGTCAGGAAGGACCTGGGCCAGCTTTCTCCCTCTAGGTTGTTGGGTTGGGGGAAAGGGATAAAGATTCTTCTAGTCCAAATCGTCATGTGTTTGCCCCTTCACTGGAAGGCTGCAGGGGAGCCAGCTGTCCCAGCTTCTCACTCTCTTCCCGTCCCTCCAGTTGTATAGGTTTCTGGCCAGAAGAACCAATTCCACATTCAACCAGGTTGTGCTGAAGAGGCTGTTTATGAGTCGCACCAACCGGCCTCCTCTGTCCCTTTCTCGGATGGTGAGTGGCTGGCCAGAGAGCACGGTGGACCTGGGAGCCACTGGGTCTTGTCTGTCTGGAAAGGAGGGAGGACTTCGAGCTCTGGGAGCAACCGGGGCATCACGGGTTTGTCTCAGCCAGCCACGAGCGGAGAGCTTGGACTGTTGGTTGGAACTGAGTGTTCATGGGCAGCGGGCGAGGCTCCTGGGCCGCTTCTCCTTATTGTGAGGTGGAGGTGTCCTGATGGCTTCAGGAGATTCCCCCAAGGCCCCAAGTCATAACTCAGTTTTATGTCAAAGGCCCTGCTGAGGGAGGCCCTGTTGGACAGTCTGCATTGTTTTTATCTAGAGCTTTCCCCAGCGGGACCTGAGGGAGGCCTGTGGGGTTTAAGGGGTGTGGTGTGAGTCGGGGGTCCCGTTAGAGGGCACGGCTGCCCTGGTCTGGGGATGCCTGAAACGGAGCTGGATGTAAACACCAAAAGGACTTACGATGTGCATCCTCCCCACCCCAAGATCCGGAAGATGAAGCTTCCTGGCCGGGAAAACAAAACAGCCGTGGTTGTGGGGACCATAACGGACGACGTGCGGGTTCAGGAGGTGCCCAAACTGAAGGTGAGTGGCGGGAGCAGGCACACCCATCAGACCCGTGCCGTGCTGTGCTCGTCCTTCCTCAGTCTTGCCCCCTCTGCTGAGGCAAGCATCCTGCCTGTCCGAGTGGCTTTGAGGGTTGGAGTGGGTCGTCTCTGACGTTGTTGATGGTGGGGTCCCCTGGGCAGGCTTCTTCTGGGGCAGGTTGTAAACTGTTAGTGCTGGTCCCTACAGCCAGACAGCCTGGGCTCAAGTCTAGACTCCTTTGTCACCTCTGAACAGGTCTTTTTTTGGCCCAGCTTCCGTGCTGTTATTTCTAGCGTAACACTAGGGATGCGCTGTTAAAAGTTCTTGGAGATAAAGTGTTGAGAACAGCTGCTCTCAGCCCGGGGTGCTCCGGGTAATAAATGATGGTGTTGGTTTCCAGGGCTCTGCTGCGCCAAGGCAGTGGAGGGTGAGTCCCTGCAGCCCCTGGGTGACCACATGGGTCTGACCCGTCAGCCTTGTTCTCTCCACCAGGTATGTGCACTGCGCGTAACCAGCCGGGCCCGCAGCCGCATCCTCAGGGCAGGGGGCAAGATCCTCACTTTCGACCAGCTGGCCCTGGACTCCCCCAAGGGCTGCGGCACTGTCCTGCTCTCCGGTGAGTGATGCCTAGTCGACGGGGTTGGAGTGAGCTGTGTGGCTACTGGCAGCCTTCACTCTCCTGGATCTGGGAGGCCAAAAGCTGGGCGCCAGATCCCTGTCTCAGCTGGTTCTCCTTCCCCTTCCCTAGGTCCTCGCAAGGGCCGAGAGGTGTACCGGCATTTCGGCAAGGCCCCAGGAACCCCGCACAGCCACACCAAGTGAGTATCAGGCCCCCAGCTCTGCCCTCTACCCAGACTCAACCTGCAGAGCCGGGCCTGGCCACACTTGGGCTGCTTTTCCTGTCCCTGGTATCAGCCAGCCCCAGGCCTTCTGCAACTCTCAGCTGCCTCATCTCGCCTGCTTTTCCCTTCAACACTTTGCTTGGAGCTGTGTTTTCCAGGGCCTGAGCTGGCATCTCCTGGGGAGCATGTGGTTCACCGGCCTCTGCTGCCCGGGCTGGGGCCCTGCAGGTGGTGGGACAGGTGCTTCCGTAGCCCCTCCTGGCTCCTTGGCTTCCCACTCTGCCAAGCTTTTCCAGCAGCCACTGACTCTCCTGGGGCTGAATGTGACAGGCGTGTGGGGTTCCTGTGCCACTCCATGATGGCTTCCTGTAAGAGGGCCCCCCTCTCACTCTCTTCTCTCCCCGCAGACCCTACGTCCGCTCCAAGGGCCGGAAGTTCGAGCGTGCCAGAGGCCGACGGGCCAGCCGAGGCCCCGGGAACCCCGCACAGTCACACCAAACCCTACATCCGCTCCAAGGGCCGGAAGTTCGAGCGTGCCAGAGGCCGACGGGCCAGCCGAGGCTACAAAAACTAACCTTGGATCCTACCCTCTTATTAAAAAGATTTTGAATGCTGAGAGTCCTGTGTGTGTGTTATTGGGGGACGGGTTGGGGGATTGGCACCTGCAAGTGAGAATGCATTTGGTTTGGGGACAGGGACGCCATGCCAGCAAAGACCAGCCCTCCTTCTGCCCCCACTGCCCCGGAAGCTCCCTGCCCCCTAGGGTCTGAGCCCTGCCTCCTTCCCAACAGCCAGGTGGCAGGTGTTCCCACACCTGCTTCCTTGGGTCAGCCACGCCCGCCCCTCTTAAAGGATCCTGTGCCCCTCCCTGGCGCTGGGATGGCGGGCGGGGTGTGGACCGGGAAGTGCAGGGTGCAGGCAGGCAGGGCTGCGGGGAGGGAGAGGCTGCCTGGAAACAGGTGAGGTGATCTCAACTCCCCACGCCGCGACCGGGAAGCCTGGGTCTGGAGGGGCGTTCACCCCGAGTGAGGACAGGTAAAGAAAGTGTGTGAGCGGGACCTCCCCCGGTGGCCTGTGGGGGCCCTCCTGTGTTTACACAAGGGGTAGGGCTCCCCGGATTCCAGGTGGAGGCCTGAGGACAGGCCAGAGGCCGGGAAGTGCTGGAGAACCACAGCCGTGTCCTCGGAAAAGGCAAGTGCTGGAAGGGAGGCCGTGGAGCCCAGCACCAGCCGGTGTGGATGGGCCCGGCGAGAGGGGGATGGGTGGGGGTGGGGGTGGGGCAGGGAGGCCAGCCTGGCTTGACTCCTTCCTTCTCTTTGCAGCTCCTTGCTGTGGTCTGGAGGAAGCAGCCGCCTGGGTTGCCGGGATCCCCGAGGTTGGGTCAGGAGCTTCAAGGGGGCAACTGGGGCTTGGGAGGGAGACAGGGCGAGTTATAGAGTGGCCCCTGTGTGGGAAGAAGCGTCCGGGCAGCTGGCAGGAGATAGGATTTAGGCGGAAACCAGGCTGGGGGCAGCTTGGTTAGGGCTCACCACAGATCCGAGAACGGTCTGAAACAGGTCTCAGGGCCAGGCCCCAGGCAGGGGCAGCCAGCCTCAGGAGGGCGGTTGGTAAGGTGGCACTCACACCTAGATGGGCTGCCAAGGTCCTAGACCCATCCCATAGTAATGGAGACCCCTGTAGCGCATGTCACCCTCCACTGCGGCAGCTGGAGGGAGTGTGAGGGTCCAGGGAGCAGGGTCCCCCATTGACAGGTTAGGGAAGGGTATGCCAAGCCTTCAGCATTTCTCTAAGGCTGAGCGAGCAGGTCCAATGGAGAGGCATCCTGGCTGGTCTGCAGGTGAGAGCTGGTGAGTAGGAGAAACTCGTGGGGGCCGTTGGATTCAGTCAGAGACACATGCTCCACCAGGCAGCCAGATCCTGCGACTCAGTCGGAAGCCACTGGCATTTGCTGGACAGTGAAAGGAGAGCGTCAGTTCATTGTGCTCTTGGTCTGGGGCAGGCAGGCAGCCTGCTGTGCCTTTATTTAAGGATATCTGGGTGATTGGAGACAGGCAGACAGCCTGTCGCCTGGAAATGATCAACTAGTCAGCCTGACCAAATTCAGGACAACTAAAGGGTCCGACTGGGCACTGTGTGACTGGTGGGTTGGAGGCTGTCGTGTGGCTGAGCATGGATGGCCAGCTGATGGGCCACACGGTTGGGGATGGTGTCAGGAGGTCAGCCTGACCAGCAGAGACGGCTGGCAGGAAGGTCACGGAAGGCCAGCCAGGCATGGTGCCACCTGGGCACAGGCAGGTGGCGGATCTGAGTGGCCTGACACACTGGGTAGTCGCTTATTTGGGCAGTGTGATTGTCAGGACAGTGAGGCAGGGGCCGCTGCAGGGAGCCATTTGGACATCTGCAGGGCCCCCCTGGAGGCCTCGGATGGCCACATAGGGTCTGCCTATCAGGAGAACCCCCAGATGGTCACAGTCCCCAAAGACAGCCAGACCCCCAGGGACCCAGCCTCTCACAGTCAGTCCTCCCACCCGAGTGACCCCGATGGCGGCCTCCCAGCTGGCGGCGCTGGAAGGAGTGGACTCCGGTCCCAGGGTGCCCGGGGCGAGCTCCGGCTTCCTGTATTCCGAGGGCCAGCGGCTGGCACTGGAGGCTCTGTTGAGCAAGGGTGCGGAGGCGTTTCAGGCCTGTGTGCAGCGTGAGGAGCTGCGGCCCTTCCTCAGTGCAGATGAGGTCCAGGGCTTGGCAGCGGCAGCTGAAGACTGGACAGTGGCCAAGCCGGAGCCTGGCAGGATGGCAGACGGAGCCCCCACCGCCGATGGGGATGCGGGCAGCCTGAGCTACTGGCCTGGGCAGTCGGAGCAGCCGGCACCCATCCTGCGGCTGGGCTGGCCAGTGGACTCAGCGTGGAAGGGCATCACCCGGGCGCAGCTGTACACCCAGCCCCCTGGAGAGGGACAGCCGCCCCTCAAGGAGCTAGTGCGGCTGGAGATCCAGGCTGCCCACAAGGTGGGTGTCACAGGGGCCTGGTGTCCATTCCCCAGACTGGGACGGGGACCCAGGCATTCTCTCCCTTGTCCTCCTGGGACTTGCAAGCCCACACCCCTACCCTAAAGGACCTATACCCCTGGGACCCAGGAGTCCACACCTTCCAGCCCCAGGACGCAGGTGCCTACACGCCCAGACCTCATCCTTACTCTCAGAAAGCGGGGCCCAGCCGAGTGCAGCAGCTCACGCCTGTCATCTCAGCACTTTGGGAGGCCAAGGCAGACGGATCATGAGGTCAGGAGTTCGAGACCAGCCTGGCCAACATAGTGAAACCCCATCTCTACTAAAAATACAAAAAATTAGCTGGGCGTGGTGGGCGCCTGTAGTCCCAGCTACTTGGGAGGCTGAGGCGGGAGAATTGCTTGAACCCGGGAGGTGGAGTTTGCAGTGAGCTGAGATCGCACCCCTGCACTGCAGCCTGGGCGACAGAGCAAGACTCCGTCTCAAACACAAAAACAAAAACAAAACAAAAAAACCCCAAAAAAACAAAAAAGAAAAACAAGCAAACATATGATTTGTGATAACAATTTTCCAGCATTTAGGAGCCAGGAATCTCAAGAAGGGGCTGGGGATCTCATGGAGGGACAGCGTTTTGCTCATTCACACATCGGTGTGGTTTGAGCAGCAGTATATGTCTGGGAGTCTCCCCTTTAGTGCCCCCTGAATGTTAAACTCCCAGCCCCCAGAGCACTTTACTCCCAGATTCCGGATGTCAGGCTTCCCACACCCTCTGAATGTCCCCCGAACCAGCTTTCGTTCACACATCCACCTCCCCTCTCCCCACCCCCAGCTGGTGGCTGTGGTCATGGACGTCTTCACTGACCCAGACCTGCTTTTGGACTTGGTGGATGCTGCCATGCGCCGCTGGGTACCTGTCTACCTGCTCCTGGACCGTCAGCAGCTGCCTGCCTTCCTGGAGCTGGCCCAGCAGCTGGGGGTGAACCCCTGGGCCACGGAGGTAGGGGCCGGGCCAGGGGCACCTGTGAGTCCCCATTCCCCTGGCATGGGGGCGGTGGGGGCAGACCCTTCCACGGAGCCCCGGGTCATTGAGATGGATGTTAGCAGGGATGGTCCCCTGGGATCTGATGCCCACGGCATTGGGGAAGTGGGGGTGGGCACCCCAAGGAATCTTGAGTCACTGAGTTTGGGTATCCCCAAGAAACGCCTGAGGGGTGATATCAGTGGCTCTGAGGAAGCCGAGGCAGATATTTCTTTCTTTTTTTTTTTTTTTTTGAGATGGAGTCTTGCTCTGTCGCCCAGGCTGGAGCACAGTGGCACCATCTCGGCTCACTGCAACATCTGCCTCCCGGGTTCAAATGATTCTCCTGCCTCAGACTCCCCAGTAGCTGGGATTACAGGCATGTATCACCATGCCTGGCTAATTTTTGTATTTTTAGTAGAGACGGGGTTTCACCATATTGGCCAGGCTGGTCTTGAACTCCTGACCTCAGGTGATTCACCCGCCTTGGCCTCCCAAAGTGCTGGGATTACAAGTGTGAGCCACCAGGCCTGGCCTTGGACAGATACTTCTATGGAGTCATGGGTCCCTCCACTTAAAACCAGCCTGGAGGGAGCCTGAATCTGTGCAGTGGGTCTCAGCAAGGGTGTGCCGTCCACTCCCCACACCAACAGAACATGGATGTCCGCGTCGTGCGGGGCTGCAGCTTCCAGAGCCGCTGGCGGCGGCAGGTGAGCGGCACCGTGCGGGAGAAGTTCGTGCTGCTGGACGGCGAGAGGGTCATCTCAGGATCCTACAGGTGTAGTCCTCGCCCCGCCCCCCCACCTCCCAGCGTCCTATACCCCACTTTCCCTCAGTGTGCTCAGAGAACAGCTGGCATCCCCTGCCCAGCCCTCTCTTTTCTCATCTGTGTAATGGGGACAAAACACCCTGCCCTGGGGAGGAGATACGTGCCGCGGCCGGACCCGGTGCTGGTCTGTTTAGTGGTCTTGGGTAAGTCTGCTTCTCTTTGACCTGGTGTTTTCTCATCTGGAAAACTGGGCAAACAGTTTGGGGGTGGACTGGCACCTCGATTGGGGTCTAAGCTCTGCCTTGGGTAAATAACTCCACCTGTCTAAGCATCTAAGAAAATACCCGGGCGTGGTGGCTCAAGCCTGTAATCCCAGCACTTTGAGAGGCCGAGGCGGGCAGATCAGCTGAGGTCAGGAGTTCAAGACCAGTCTGGCCAACATGGTGAAACCCTGTCTTCCCAGCTACTTGGGAGGTTGAGGCAGGAGAATTACTTGAACCCAGGAGACAGAGGTTGCAGTGAGCCGAGATTGCGCTGTCGCACTCCAGCCTGGGAGACAGAGCAAGACTCCGTCTCAAAAAAGCAAAAGAAAAAAGAAAAAAAAAAAGAAACTGCAAATAATAACAGCACCTACCTCACAGGGTCACAGCACAGTTGGGGAGGAGAAGGGTGTGGGCTCTGGGACCAGACGGCCTGGATTCAAATTCTAGCTCTGTCAGTTCCCCGTTGTGTGACTTCAGGCGACTTACTTCACCTCTCTGTGCCTCAGTTTCCCCCTCTATGTCACGGGGCTGATAGGGTTAGAGCCTCTAGAAGCAGGTCCCTCAACAGGGGTAGCACCCACACTTGGGCTGGCTGAGTCTTTGTTGCGGGGGCTGTTGGGTACACTGTGGGAGGCTGCTTGGCATCTTCTGCCTTGACCCAGCAGAGGTCAGTAGCATCACATGCCCAGTACCCCCAGCTTTCCCTGCCAATTAGAGAACCGAAAACGTCTCCAGACAGCAAAGATGCCCGCTGGGGAGCACAGGTGCCTAGCTGAGAACACTGGTCAGGAACAGTGGCTTTCAACCCTGTGCGTGCACCAGAATCCCTGGGAGCACTTGTTAAAACACAGATTTGGGCTGGGCATGGTGGCTTACACCTGTAATCCCACCACTTTGGGAGGCCGAGGCAGGCAGATCACCTGAGGTCAGGAGTTCAAGACCAGCCTGGCCAACATGGTGAAACCCCATCTCTACAAAAATACAAAAA